GTAATAGATTCTATTTTAGAATTTTGGAATTGTGAATTTGGAAAAAATAAATAAAATCAAGTTTTCAAGAATGACGGAAATTGAATGAGACAATATTATTCTTAACTTGTCAAGACTTTTGAATGATCCTCGTAATATCTCTGCTTGAGAAATTCTTTAAAAATTTGCTTTATCAACAATAATTCACTGCAACTTATTATCATTCGGTCTTCCAGAAAGAAAAAAACAAAGAGCGAACATAAGATCGAGCAGCTGATTAACTGCCATTATTAACTTTTCCAAGCAAATCCAGAAAAACACCTGTAACGTTTAATACTTGCATTGAATTATTTGCAAAGCATAATTTACGGTTTTCATTAAAAATAAAACAAAAAAAGTGTCATAATTCCCACGAAAAGTTATTCAAAATTAGGCCTTCAAGAAGTAGTATTTATGAATAGCAAAGTAGAAAGCAGCGAAAACCATACATCTTCGAATAAACAATGATATTCAAATTTAATGACAATATACCAATGTTATTGTGTGAATAAATAAAGAGAGCGTTATTTAATACTCTTACTATAGGTTACACGTTATAACAATAATGTTCATTTATAAATTAACGAATCCACAGCTATGTAATTCATGATAAAATGTTAAAATGTATGTTACAAAAAAAAAAAAAAAAAAAAAATGTACATTTTTATAGAGTAAGTTGACATTCATATTTGGCCGACTAGAATAACCGAAAACATTGCGGTTTCTTTAAAAAATCATTATTATATTGAACTATTATTGTATTGTACGATATAAATATAAATGTTCTGTGCATCCATTTAAAGTGTTTACTTTAATAAAAATATTATAAACATTATACTGCATACATTGAAACGATTACGGCCAGTCGCTAATAAAGGGATTTTCTTGATCCATGATGCGACACGCGATAAGATAATCTGCCTCAAATCTACTTACTGAAGAGACAATCTGCAGATAGTTAGTAGATGCGGCAGCTCTGTAATACCAAATGTTGAGATGCACAGGGCATAAATAGCTCAACACATGTGCATTCTACGTGTCGAACATACCACCGGCTTTATATGAATTAAAGGGACATGATGAAATTACCGACAGAACCGAGTCATTATGTTAACATTATGTCGAAATTACGATTATCAAATCTACGTCGATATTACATAATTTTTCCCACTTCAAAGGTTAACAACTATATCGTATAATTAGAAAAAAAAAATTAATTAATTAAAGCAGATGAAATTATTTTAATTTAAATCTAATTTACTATTATGACTTTCAACTTTATAAATATTTACGGAGATACATTACTAAAAATACAATACCTTGAATCATTATTACTATTATTATTATTGTTGTTATTATTATTATTATTATTATTATTATTATTATTATTATTACTAATAGTAGTAGAATTACTATTAGTTGTAGTAGTAGTAGTAGTAGTAGTAGTAGTAGTAGTAGTAGTAGTAGTAGTAGTAGTAGTAGTAGTAGTAGTAGTAGTAGTAGTAGTAGTAGTAGTAGTAGTAGTAGTAGTAGTAGTAGTAGTAGTAGTAGTAGTAGTAGTAGTAGTAGTAGTAGTAGTAGTAGTAGTAGTAGTAGTAGTAGTAGTAGTAGTAGTAGTAGTAGTAGTAGTAGTAGTAGTAGTAGTAGTAGTAGTAGTAGTAGTAGTAGTAGTAGTAGTAGTAGTAGTAGTAGTAGTAGTAGTAGTAGTAGTAGTAGTAGTAGTAGTAGTAGTAGTAGTAGTAGTAGTAGTAGTAGTAGTAGTAGTAGTAGTAGTAGTAGTAGTAGTAGTAGTAGTAGTAGTAGTAGTAGTAGTAGTAGTAGTAGTAGTAGTAGTAGTAGTAGTAGTAGTAGTAGTAGTAGTAGTAGTAGTAGTAGTAGTAGTAGTAGTAGTAGTAGTAGTAGTAGTAGTAGTAGTAGTAGTAGTAGTAGTAGTAGTAGTAGTAGTAGTAGTAGTAGTAGTAGTAGTAGTAGTAGTAGTAGTAGTAGTAGTAGTAGTAGTAGTAGTAGTAGTAGTAGTAATGATGGTAGTAGTAGTACAGGTATGAGTATTATTCGTTCGAAAGAAGAGAAATTTAATGAAGAAAATCCTTTATGACGCTTTAATAATCATAAGTGCGATACTTGCAGTTTCAACTGCATGATGATCCATCTTTGGCTAATTCTATGTTGCAGCTGTTGCAGCTGTTGCAGCTGTTATGTGAAGATTAAAAATATCAACCATAAATTATAAGCCTCGCGTTTATCCTTCACTGCTCATTCGGCTTCGTGAATCATTACTACGTCCAGTGTTTGTATGGTCCTGGAAGACAGAAAGTAGTCAACATCTACAGAACTTAGTAGCGCAAGTTTTACCGTACGTCATCAGTTGGGTAGAATTTGCATAAATTCGTAAAAATTCCTTGATTATTCGCAAAGCCGTGGAATTTTATTGAAAATTTTCGAATATGTTTTAAAATCCTATACATTTTCCATTAAAATGAAACAGTATAGCCGTCGTAAAAAAAAATTATCTAAGATTTTTTTTTGTATTTCTAATTAAAGTGGCACTTAAAACAAATACATAATTCAATTTCAAAATCCATGTTTATTACTATTCATCGTGTTGTAATAAAATAGTGAGCCAATTTGCTTATTTGATTAATTTTATGTAATTTACCATTAAAGAAAGATTTTTAAACTATATTTCGTTTTAAGCTTCAAAATGCAAATTAAAAATTACAATTGATTGTTGCAGTTGATATTATTATTTTAAATATAATTTTTTTTTTTTATTTTAAATTGTCATTAAAATAACCGGATAATGATTCCATAATACTGTATCGTAGAACTAAAATTTGTATTGTATTGTATCAAGTTGTGACTCGATCGACTTGCATATTATATATAAAACTATAAGAGAGACTCGTGCAATAAGCAGTTGAGCAATTTCTTTGAAATAATTAATTTTCCATTTCATTGCCCTTGGGCATTCCGATCGCCAGCAATATAAGAAAATGATTAAACACTAGAGTCCCAAATAATATGTCTAATGTACGATAATATCCTACAACGCGATCAAGTTAAAGTGCACTTCGACTGCCACTTGCTCATTCGCATTAATCCCCAACTAAATAATCTTTGAACGGTTGAGTCTGCAAGGTGCAAGTAGCGCCAAGTGAAGAAGAAATGGTTTTTCCATTATATCATAAGGAGAATGCAGACATCTTGCTAAATTTAATCAGATTGCTCGATTGTCCGAAAATAAGCAGGAAAATGTCAAATGGGAAAGTAATTGGCGTAAAAGTATAGCGAGGCTAGGGCTGTGCTTGAATTGGATAAGTAAATAGGAGGAATTTGATGCGAGTGGGCGTGGCCGGGGCCTAAGGTTAGGTCAGCCTGGAAATGGATTGTAATTACTTGTATTTTATTTAAAATTCCGCGTGGACCGCGATTATCTCGCGGGCGTAGACTGTACGCGGAATTTAAATCGTTCTCCCGTCGTAAGGTAGGGCGCGATGAGGAAAATGAGAGCTGCGAAAGGCGAGAGCCGTGCCGCTGCATCTGTCCGGCTCCCTCTTCTTTTTCCGAGTTGGGGCTCCAACGACGACGGAATAACATTTGCAAACCTCCCCGACGCGCATATGTTATTTTCCATGAGAAAAATTTTAATATTACATTACTTTTGGTTTTTTCTGCCCCTGCTCTGACGCCTCTCTCTCTCTCTCTCTCCCCCCCCCCCTTTCTATCTCACTATCTATCCATCTATCTATCTATCTAATTAGATCTCTGGCCCAATATCCCCGATGCTAATGTCACCGGGAATAAATATCAACGCGAATTTCGTGTATTTCGAATGGGACGTCGAATCTCAGCCCTCTTAGTCAAATAATAGAGCCGTGAATTAACAAGTAACTCGCAATAGCCTTTACCTGCAGTAATATTATAAATACTATTATATTATCTCAAAGCGCTGTGATTAGCGATCAATCAAATTATCTACATTCAACTCCTAAAGCCATACGTGATTTGCTCCCCAATTGACACATTTTTTGTTAAATATATTTATTTCTATCCTTTTTCTATTATTTGCTTTACAATATTTGGATTCCATCGAATGTGTCGACGTATAATAATAATTAAAAAAAAAAAAACAGATTCATTTCAACAACTGCATCACGATATATGGAAACAGATAAAATTGTGCAATCATATCGTTATTATTAATCAATTATTCATTTTTGTATTAAATTTTTAATAAAAATGTTTTTATTATTTCAATCGTAATTGCAGAATATTATAAAATTCTGCGAATACGTATTATGCGAAAAATAAAAAAAAATTCTTTGAAGAATTACTCCATAAATTCTACAATATTGTAATAAATAAACCAAAAATATCATAAAATGTACAACAGAAGTTACTTTATGATTTACGATCCGTATTTATGTTCATAATGGCCTTAGTATTACAATAAATCCATTGTAGATTGGAAATTAGATTTCTAAATATTAAAAATACAAGGATTATGCTTATATTAAATCAAGAAAATTTCTTGCCAAATTCCAAATTTTTTAATTTAATTTGTGGATACTCGCCTAATTTAACTTGTAGTGAGTTACAAAATTTTGTAAAAACTTCCTATTAGATTTTGCATTATACATTTTTTTAAATAAACCGGAATAAAGTGTCTTCGTGTTTTATAACATTACATCAAGTCACCGTTAAAATTTTGCAACTTTAACATTTTATTCATAATATTTAATATCACGGTCAAACCAAAAATTAAATATTAATTTGGTCGCGAGAGAGACGTTAATAAGCCCCGAGAGCTTGACAAAAGTTATTATTATTAATAATAATTAATAAAAATAGCTGCTTATTAATGCGATACTTATTATTGTGACACTTGGGCCTCTTCGTTGCAACGATACCATCGAAATACTGAAATTTTTTAATAAAGGGCTGCTTTCTAGAAAATTAATATGCTCTCTTATTCCTTTAAGGAGCCATAATTTGAACGTGTGCTGCTCTCAATTATCAACAACGGAAGTCAGAAAGGTTCGATGGCATCCAGGTTCGGCTACGGATTCTCATCTGGTTGTCCTTACATCCGATAATGTATTTCAGTGAGTGTAAAATAATAATTTACGAACGAATGTAAACATTAATAATAATTTCATAATTTGTAGATTGTACGAGTGTGAAATTCACAATGTTCCCAAACTGACAAGAACTTGGAAGATAGGACCAACTTTACATTCGCCCTCGAAAATTCCCAACTTTACCTCGCTGGGTGATACGGCGGTTGACTTTGACTTTGCCACACCGACCGTCAAACAGGATAACGACAAAAATGTCGATGTACAATCACGCGCCATATTAACTAAATGCCTTACGCATTTTATATGACCTTCACTGATAAAACCGACTTTACACATTTCAGATAAATAAAGCTTCGTGGAGGCAGATTGAGTGGCCGATTTTAGTTCTTCGCGGCAGCGGTGATGTTCTGATTGTTCGTGGTAATGTCTTAATAAAGTACGTTTAACCCATAAAGTAATTTAATTTACATTGTGTAAAATGACTAACATTACACTCAAATCAATACGCCATTATGTTTTACAGCCAGAACAAGCCTGTTACATTCGGAACTCTCTCCATGTATCCTCCAACCGTTGACAATTATGGAATTGACTCTTGTTCCATTATGTGTTTACAAACGACACCGCCCCTCGTAATAATCGCCGAATGCACCGGAAAAATTTACCATGCAATTTTACTGAACGAAAATCTGGAAGATGATGAAAAAAAAGTAACAATAACGCTGCTTTAGCTGGCTCTTTAAGTCCTATCGTATTACGAATTTGATCACAAACATTTCAATTGATTACTATAATAAATTAAGTAAATATAATGGATTATATAGTTAAATTGCATAATAACGATAAATTATATCCATATAATCAAGGAGTTTAATAGAATTAAAATGGCATCAGAATATAATCAGATATAGAATTATAAATCATATTGTTATCTATTTTAACATTATATTATTAACTTTATTTATTGTATTTATTGACGAATTTTATTCAAAAATAATATGAAAATGACACAACGTGAAATTAAATACATCTTTTATGCTTGATTTTGAACAAAAAATTCCAAAAAAAAAAAAAGAAAAAAAATTTTTATTGTACTATTTATAGAGAAATTAGTTCATGCTTTGAGGCGTAAATCGTGTGGAATCAATTGTAAAAGCTTAAACAGCACACGAATATGATTCGTTCGATTGAAAACTTTCGGTCATTACGTTGCCAAACACGTTAGGGCGCGTTTGCACTCGCGTGTACATATCTACGCGTATAGATCTATGGATCAATTAACAAATGTATTGTATATTTAGTTGTGGCTGCAAGCCGTAAAATATAACTGAAAGTACGACAAATAAGCAGCTTTAACATCAATATCATGAAAAATAATTTCAAATTAAATGAACGCAAAGCAAATATCCTCATTTCTTTCCCAACAAACTCACAATTATATCAATTTATTCGTAGACATGGTCCCAGTTTGGATCAACATACAGTCTTCACACACCCGAAGAAGCTTTATACGTTTACGAATGTGTCGAAATGGAATTGGGACTTTTTTACGATGAAAATGATAAAAAGTACAGTTGCCCTATTTATTTACACGGTGATCGAGAGAATCGATTGAGGTAAGACATCTTTACAGCGACAATCTATTTTGCATGCAATATTTTTATACTCGATCAAGTTAACAATTATAACGATACTCCGCAATTCGTCTTAAAATTACAAAATAAATTGCAAAATAACGATCGCAAATACTTAAAGCATTTCACCTGAAATAATACTGGAAAATGTTTTCAGGTACTTTTGTTCCCATAATGCCGGCATACACGTTGTTAACGTCCCCATGGTTGGTCAGCTCAACGATTATATCAATGTCAACGACTGTAAGTATTACAATGCGATAATTTCCCTTTATTCGCCTATAATTTTAATAAAGCTAAAAAACGTTAATATCTTCAGCAAACGTCGACCTCTACCTCCCAAATCTCATAAAGAATTCGAGCGCACAGTATCTTTTGAGTACGCGCACAAAGTATACGGGGAAAGAGGAAGCGACGCCGATTCTTGGATTCGGATTACTTCAGGAGCCGTGTATCCTAATCGCCGTACTTCATACTGGAGTGGTTATCGATATCTCCGTCGTTGATCTTTATTATATCCCGAAAATTGAACTAACCGCGCCTGTGCCCAGTTCCAGTAAAAAAGTTAGCAAATCCTTCTCATCCCTAGCGTTTTATAAGCTATTTCAATTATTTATTATTCTCTCTTACATTAATACGAACTCTGTAATCTCCTTGTGCTCTCGCAGGTGACTAAAGAAGCCTTCGATACTTATATTAAGCAACTGCTTAAAAGAGAAACGTCACAGCCAATCACAAAAATTGGATTGCGAAAAAATCTGACACCGCGCGAATATCTCGAGGTATTGTTCGCGAACATTATAACGGATCCAATGTTAAGCTATCGAAGCGATGCCACTGCATTAAACGATATTGTAATTTCAGTTATTGTACCGCGCAACGACGGTGTTTCGCAAACAGCATTTCGTTCGTCATGATAAAGTTCAGGCGGAAATAGGGAAGAAGGTACGGACGTTAAAAGCTTTGAAAACCCATCAACTAAAGGAACTCGAAAATCTAAGTGAAATGAAAAAACATTTGCATGAGAAAGTTGGAAGCCTAGCTGAACGATACGAAGATATAAAGGACAAACAGGAAGAGCTTGCACGAAGGTGATGTTTTTTATTTTTTAAAGCTTTTTGTTTGTTACAGAATTATAGGTTCCTTACAGAGGCAAACAATAATAATAATAATAATAACAGCAACAACAACAACAACGACGACAACAACAACAACAACAACAACAACAACAACAACAACAACAACAACAATGTTACGAATAAAAAATTAATTTTGATAATGAGATTTGTTACCATAATGTATGCGTTCATTGTTTGTATGCGCAAAACAGCTATTGGTCATTAGATTTGTTAAAAAAACTACTAAAACTCATTACTAATAGTTCAATGTCAACTCTTCCCAATTAAATCAAAATTATCCTTTTATTTGTCGAATTTGTTGCCCCTCTTTACGAACAAAAAACAAAAACAAAACAAAACAAAACAAAGCAAAAATACCTACGACAATATCGTTCATCCAATTAGCTATTTCATAACGAAATCTAATTTAGAAAAAAAATTAATAAATACACTGCACTATTTAGGGCTGAAGAGGTTCTTACATTGGTGCACTTGAAAGAGCCAAATATGAATCCAGTGGAGAGAGCCGAATGCAAAGAAATTAAGAAAATTGCAGACAAAGTGAAGGAATTAGATGTACGTCTAGAGCAGCTAAAGAAGAAAAAAGCTTCCAACCAAGTTTTAATAAGTAATGCCGAAAAACATATCGAAAAGCAGGAGATTATTTTCAAGCAATCACAAATAACTTCTATAACGACAAACCTTACGAATATGTTAGTATACGTTTAAATGAATGTTGAAATGTACTAATGTTGAAATGAAAATACTTATTTCCTTCAACCTTTTGTTGTTGTTTTTTCTTTCTTTTCCAGGGGAAAAAGCATCGAAGAATTGATCAATCGTGCCAAAACATTACGGGAAAAGGTGGACTTATAATGTATCTGATCCGAACATCAATGTAAATTGTTTATACTTTAGTGAAAAATTTACCGAATTAAAAACATTAAGATTTTTTTGTTGGCTCTCATGTTTATTCCTTTCATAAATTTTAATTCTGTACGTTCTCGATAGAGCGCAGCAGCTACTTAAGAGTCTGTGCTGACATCTGTAGAGTACAGTACGAGGCTCATGCCGAATCGCAAAACATCAATCAATTTAAAAAAATGTATGAAAATTAATAGTGAAGTTGATTATAATAAACTCCCGATGCCGTTGAATTTATACGATTATTATTTTTATCTTACGATAAACCAATTTTCATCCTCATCGATATATTAGCTTTTAGTGGTAATGTGGTATGCGACAACAACACGAGATGGCGTCGTTCCGACAAAAAAATGTCGGAATATGGCGTCTATTTACTTACCCTTGCCGAGTAGAGTCTCTAATTAAAAATATTAGGATAGAAAAAAAAAAACTTCTGGCAACGTAATTTAAGGACGGTATAATTATAGGTCTGATGTGACCAAGCCTAAAGTTAATTAAACGTATTTATTTATAATTTTGTACTACTAATAGATGTTCTTGTGAATATAAAAGATGGAAGTTCTTGAATTAAAAGATATAAAATGTGTTCCTGATATTATTCACATTTACTCTGAGAAAGTTAAATCCGAGTCAACGCCACTTGTCATTGACAATGGTACATAACCTTTATCTGTAAATAATACATCATTATAATTAGAAAATAAATGTCTAAATTTATCTTTAGGTTCTTACAATTGCAGAGTTGGCTGGGCCACTGACAAGGAACCTCAATTGGTATTTAAAAATTTAATTGCAAAACCTCGTAAGGAACGAGGGAAAAAGGATGGAGAAATTCAGGTTGGAAATGATATTATTAATATCGAGGCTGTTAGATTTCAGCTAAAAACACAATTCGATCGAAATGTGGTTACGCACTTTGAGGCTCAAGAGCAAATATTTGATTACACATTTACTCATATGGGGATTGATACGGAAGGGTGCGTTAATCACCCCATCATCTTAACTGAAACTTTCTTAAATCCCAACTATTCAAGAAAATGTACTCTAGTTTAAACAAACAAACAAAAAAAAGAATCACTCCCCGTAAGTTGCCAGACGACGGACTATAATTGTAACTTTTACTTTTAGTGATGGCTGAATTGTTATTCGAATGCTATAATATTCCATCGATCGCTTATGGAGTCGACTGTCTATTTTCTTATCAACATAATAATTGTCCCTCCGATGGGCTTATTATTAGCGTAGGATACCAGGCTACTCATATTATTCCAATACTCGATGGTAAAGCCGATACTGCAAACTCAAGACGTATAAATCTTGGTGGCTTTCACATAACGTCTTATATGCACAGATTGCTACAATTAAAATATCCCGTACACGTGAATGCTATAACGCTCAGTCGAGCCGAGGTATCGAAAGCGTAAAAGCTCGTTGAAAATTGCACCTCGTACTGTCATTGATAATGCCTAACACAACGCTTCATAAACTTACGTACTTTCAGGAACTGATTCACGATCACTCTATGATCGCATTGCAATACCAGGATGAAATTTTAAAGTGGGCCGATCCAGTATATTACGACGATAGTGTTCTCCGAGTGCAGCTCCCGTACGTGGCACCAGCGAGTACTCCGGGCCTCACAGTCGAGCAGCAAAAGGAAAGAAAACGCGAGCTTGCCCGACGATTGATGGAAATCAATGCTCGAAAAAGAGAGGAAAGAGTAAGAGAGACAAACAACAGCCTCGTACATTAAATGGCCCGGTCATTTAACATTATTATTCAACGTTATGCTTAACTAGCTTGCAGAAGACGAGGAGCAATTAAATCAACTTCTAGCCATTCAGGAGCTCCTGGAGGAAGGGGAAACCGAGGAGTTCGAAGAAGCTTTGCAATCCTATTCGCTCACCAACGAAACGGAATTGATAAAAATGATAAATAACTTGCAAGCCAAAGTTGAAAGGACTCGACAGAAAATAGTGGCTGCCAACTCGCAAGAAGAGAACATCGTGATGGAAGAGCAAAAGTCGAAGATTAAGTCGAACATGCAACCAAAAGATCAGCAAGACTTTGACGAATGGATAGCAGGCGTGAAGCGTAAAAGGTAATTATAATTTCGTACCGATCTAGCGAGGCCAGAGCCGCCGAGGTCGCTGACAATAATCGTAATGCCACTTTGCCAGGCAGGAAATTTTAGAAAAGCGTATGGCCAAAAGACAGCGTCGCCAAGACATGGCGAAGCGCCGAACGGCCGCTGCCCAAGAACGAATGAGAATCATTAGTCAGCTCGCGAGAAAGGATAAGAGAGATGACGATTTTGGCATGAGAGACGAAGACTGGGACGTATATAAGGCTATAAATAGAGTGAGATATCATGTTGTTTGTTAGCGCTCGTTAGCGCGTCCCAATGCGTCTTACCTGCGAATTGCACGTGTTTGTCATTTAGGAAGGAGGAGACTCGGACTCAGAATTGGAGCAAGAGAAGCTCGTTGAGCTCGAGGAAGTGCTGCGCCATCATGATCCGGAGTTCGAGGGTCCGGGGACATCGACGGTGCAAATGGTTCCCGGTGAGACGCACCAGCTACACGTGGGTGTCGAGCGCCTGCGTGCCCCGGAGCTCCTGTTTCAGCCGTCGATGATTGGCTTGATCGAGGCCGGCATAGCTGAGACAATCGAGTTTATACTTAAACGCTACACGCCCGAGCAGCAAACTCGTCTGGTCGGCAACGTGTTCCTAACCGGAGGCTCGGCTACTTTCCCAGGACTACTCGAGAGGCTAAAGCGAGAGCTCACGGAAATGCGGCCCTTTCGATCCAACTTTCAAGTTAACATAGCGAAAAACACGAGTCTCGATGCTTGGTACGGAGCCCGAGACTTTGCCCTCAGCGGCAGCTTACCCGAGTACTTGGTTAGTCGCAAGGATTACGAGGAAAAGGGAGGGGAGTACCTGAAGGTGCACTCGGTGAGTAACGTATACACGCCGTCGCCGGATCCGCTGCCAATGCTTCAGGTGCCAGTGGCGTCCGAGCAGATCGTCATGGAGGATGCCGCTATCGACGTGGAAATCGAATAGATCATTGGCGGCTACCCAAGGGCCCTTCGATTATAACAACAAAGGCTTTCTGCGCAAACCATTTGTTTCTCTTATTTTATTTATATATATATATATATATATATATATATATATATATATATATATATATATACATATATATACATATATACATATATATATTTATTATTATTATTAAATCGTTTAAGCTTTTTTTAGACTATTTTGTTTTCTTTATTATTTTTTCACCCCAACCCCCTTTATTTCTTCATTTCTTTCTTCATTTTTGTTCTTTCATTATTGTTTCTATGTTTCTGTAATAAATTGGAAAAGAGAAAAAAGAAGAAGAACCCAGAGTGTTTTGTCTATGGATATCTACTTTATTACACAAGTGTTTCCGTTTGTTCATGACGGTACGAACAAACTACATTGTAGTTTGTCGGTTTGCCGATTACAATATACACATCCTTCGGTTGAGCTCGATAATCCAGAGACAATTATATGCCTTCTATTTGCTTTAATTGTTTTGCCTTAATTTATGCTTTAATTCTTGAAGAATAACGACGCCCCATTCGCATGCCTCATTCTCGTTTTTTTTATTTGTTTGTCGAGTGGTCTAAAAAATGTGAAAGTGATCCCTCACGCTAGCGTCAAGTCTGACTACAGCGACCTCAGCATAGCTCACCGACTTAGGTCCACAGCTTAAACTAACATCACAATATAATATACTGAAAATATCATGGGGGCCTTCGTCATCGACCCTGTACAATCTAGCATCACCGATCCCTCGCAGTCTTCGACTCGCCGTTTGAGAGGAACAGGCTGCGCCGAGCTTTAGTCACATCGTCATCGTGGCAAGGGGAGATCGACCTAGGCCCGTTAGAGCCAACCGCCATCACCGTCAGAGCTATGCCAGTCCGCACTTCAGGACTCCGGTAGCGCATAATGGCTCCAGAGGAACGAACGATTCACTGGACGGGGATCGCTTGGCGGCGATGAGTACACGCGCGGCTCGCGGCCTTCCGTTTCATCGACAGCCTCCAAACAATCAATAGCTCGAAATAATAAAAAAAAGCGAGAGGAAGCGAGCGGAAGGAGCTGCGTTTTCACTCTCGACGGCTCGCCTCGCCCCCGCATATACCTAACGTTAAAATTTAAAAAAGTAGTGCACACCGCCTGACTTCAAAACCGTGAATTTGTCGTTTAAAAGGAACAAAAATTATATTAAAAACAGGGACATATATAGATAGATAAATAGAGATAGATAGAGAGGGAGGGGAAAAAAAAACATAAAAAAAAGCAAATCGGTTAAAAGGGTTCGGACTAGTTACGAGACGGTATTGTCGAGATTTTTAGTACTTAGCTGACGCTCGCCAATGAGAGGATTACATAAAATAAAAAAAAAAAACGAATTGCGAAGTAATTGGTCTTGTGAAGCGGGTCCTTCATTGTTTCCTTCTTCTTCTTCTTCTTCTTCATCCTCTTCTTCTTCCTCTTCTTCTCTTTTTTCTTCCAAGCATTCCCTTCGAATTAAACTACGTACGAAATCGGAAAAAAAAAATGAGAAAAGAAACGAGAAATTTATCAGAGGAGTCGTTGAAAGACGTAAAAATTAATTAAGAAACGAATTCTAATACGCGCAGCTCGCTTCGTCCGCTAAGGAAACTCTTCAGCCGATACATACACATACGCGGCTAAAAAGGACCGCCAATCTCTGCCTCGGCGCATTTGACTTAATACAACGAATCTTAAAATTTAAATAATATTCTTTACAATTATCACAGTGTGAGGTCGCTGCAGGCCAACCGTACGCTAATTTACGATTAAAAAAAGTTTATTTTTGTCTCCCCGTAACGCACTCGGTCCACCTCGTCCTCCATATCCCGTCCCCTTTTTCACCACCCCTCTCCGCCCCCGCCGCCCAAATACGCACCTCATTGCCTTCGGGCTTTTTGCTCTACGCTCGCACACGCACTTATTACCTTCCCGATAATCAAATTCGCGTGCGACGCTTTTTCATATAATTCTTTAACTGTTTATGCATTTTTTTTCTTTTATCATAAAATTGAGGTAGTATCCAATGTTAAGAGCAAGAACACCTCGTTATTAATTTATTTTTATTCTCAACGCATGAGCGAATGTACTAAAAGTGAAAATCTACTTTCGTTAACTGATCAAGCGTATTCTAAGTAAAGTATACATAGTATTAGTATATTGTTCGTCATCGTAGTAGCAGTAGTAGTATTAATAGTAGTAGTAGTAATAATCATAATAATAATAATAATAATAGCAGTAGTAGTGGTAGTGGTGGTGGTGGTGGTAGTAGTGGTAGTAGTGGTAGTAGTGGTAGTAGTAGCAGTATTGGTAGCAGTTGTAGTAGTAGTAACAAAAAGAATAATTACAGTAATAACCTACAATCATAATATTGTAGGAATGAATAGTAATTGTGACAAATAATTATTATAACTCATAATTAGTACAGCAGTGATTAATGCATTTTTTCAATATATAATGGAGGATTTATTTATATATTTATATGTATTTATATTATATATATATATATATATATATACATGTATATGTGCGAATATATATATATATATATATATATATATATATATATATATATATATATATATATATTTTTGTATGCATGTATATATTTTCTTATATATGTATAATCCTTATATGGATGGGCAAAGGGTAAGTGACAGCTATGTACAGTACATACTTGCCTTAGTTGTATCATCGTTTTACATATGTATGCATATATATATATATATATATATATATATATATATATATATATATATATATATAATATAAATACATATAAATATATAAATAAATCCTCCATTATATATTGAAAAAATGCATTAATCACTGCTGTACTAATTATGAGTTATAATAATTATTTGTCACAATTACTATTCATTCCTACAATATTATGATTGTAGGTTATTACTGTAATTATTCTTTTTGTTACTACTACTACAACTGCTACCAATACTGCTACTACTACCACTACTACCACTACTACCACATATATATATATATATATATATATATATATATATGTATATATATACATAAATACATGCATGTGCAAACACACGAATGCATGTAAATGCATGCGTGTACAAATTTATTTATGCGCGCGCAGACGCACACATGTATGTATGCGTGTGTTTGCATGTATGTGCAAATATATGTGTATATATATATATATATATATATATATATTGATGGATGTGTGTGTGTATGCATGAATGTATGTATACGGACACACAATCGCGCATGCACACACACATGCATGTATATGGTCTCATACAGTGATAATTTACGAATTACTGTTTACACATAAAATAGCCTATGTAACATGTATATATGTAGTAACTAGTCGTACGCAGTATTTTTTTTTTCATCTTTACGTTGAAGGATGTGTTTAGCCAGGATATGTCGGTGAAACTATTTATGAGTTCCTGTCAAGCTTTTATCGCCTCTTATCTTTCATCATTACTATTATTATTATTTTCTTAAAATTCGCTTTTTATTTTCTTAATTTTTAATATAATCGTAATTGCTATTATAAAAGTGTTCTTTTTATATTTGCAGTGTTCTATCGCGTGTTGCTTGTGTGAGAGCGATCTGCACTCGCGTATCTTTCTTTACTATTATTCTTTTGCTTATGCATATACATATACATATCCATATACACATATATATTCATTCATATATATATATATATATATATATATATATATATATATATATACATGCATATATACGTATGCGTATGTAATTATTATTTTATTTTGCTTTTTCTTTATCTTTCTAATATCTCCTATGAAAAACTCGTCTACAAAAATTCTATCATACGCAGGCCTCTAAGACTTACGGTAGCACGGTAAAACCTCTATAAAAATAAGAACTATCTACTGCTACTATACGTAGGCGAGAGTGGAGAAATGACTGAGGCAGTCGTGTCGTTTCATCACGGCTTTTCTTTGCTTTTTGCTTTCTGTTTTGTTTTTGTTTGTTTCCTTGTTTCTCTCTCTCTCTCTCTCTCTCTCTCTCTATATATATATATATATATATATATATATATATCTTTTTTTTAATCGACTCTTTGTTTGCTTTTTCTTGTATTCTTAGAAGGTCGACGAAATTGAATTGCGAATGTTTATTGCGCCGCGGCAATTTATGGCGATGTTACAGGCATGGCAGATTGACTTAGTGCGAAACACTAACAAAGAAGCTCATTGACAAGAGGAAGAACTATCTCTCGCACTAATTCATAAAGAAATGCTAATTCCAGGAACTACTGCAGAACATCTCGTATATGTGTATCGGTTTTAACGACAAAACGGCAAATTCAATTTTCAATTGATTCAATATGAGCTTGTGCTCGCAAGAAGCGATGAGGTTTTCCGCAGCTCTACGCTTTTCGATGGAACCTACTCTTCCCGCTGGAGTTTGGATCACTCGAGACGCGCATTTGCAGAAAGTTGCGGAGCTGATACACTGGGCATACCTCACTGATTATCAACATATTTAATGTTGCGTTATAGTTTTTCCATGAGAAAATGCCGTCGTCCCTTCGTTAGAGATTGTAGTAAAGATAGTAAAACACTATCCAAAGAAGAAGTTGATGAAGAAGAAGAAAAGTCTAACCAATCCCTATTCCGCTAAATATAAATAGAATTCATACTGAATTGTAAATAAATTACTCCTGACTTTTCACTTAATACGTTATTTTAACGATGATTAACTTTGTTTCACAAGAATTTTCATAGCTAAAAAATAAATAGCTAATTGTTAAGAAAGTTAAGATCGTCGTCAAAATTTATAATTCAATTACACTGTTTTCTTTATTTTTCCTCTTTTGTTTAATGATTGATCGCCAGCACGAAGAGAGATAAATAAAAAATAATAAAGCATTTTAATGTTATCGAGATGAAAAAAGATTGCGAACAATAAGCAAGCGTTTGATGATTGATGTTGAGCGAGATGCTGTCGAACAGTTTTAAGGCACTAAGTACCAAGGCGCAATGCCTAATTTTCTAATCGAACGTCGTGATAAAGAATAAAATAGTGGTCGAGGTAAAGAATATGAATGACAGAGGGAAAGGGGGAGGGGGGGGGCGAGAGAGAGAGAGAGAGAGAGAGCGAGAGAGCGAATGAAGTGACGCAACTCTCATAATCATCCGAGCCACGTGTGGAACAACAATTTCTTTTTTCCATCCGCGCTCCAGAAGTCAACGCGATAACGTTCGCGAAGAAGGAAGTGCAATGTTATCGATATTTATCGTAATAGCAGTAGACGTTGCATAATAACTCGAGAAGAGTGCGATTTTATTATTCGTCGCGCCGTGACTTTACGCCTCTTGTTACGCGTCCTATACAACGTGGATTCTTGCGGCTGTGACGTTAAAAACATTATACAGATTATGATTCTAATAAATAAACAGACGTAAAATTATACCGAAACCGCGCAATTGTACCGCGGATTAAGGAAGCAAGCAAAGGCGCTTTACATTTACACTAATTTACATGCCCAACCCTCCCGAGTGTAATGCAAGGGTGTTCGCGACATTCGGAAGGATTAAAAAAAAAAAAAAAAAAAAAAAAATCTCGATTTTCATTATTCGCGTCGATGTGTCGTCATCCCTTGCGCTCGCGCCAAGGAATCCTAAACTTCTATGTACAATTTCACAGAGTCGCACTCAGAGTATACTAAGAGTTGACTTTGTGCTTGAAGACTCGCAAGACCTCGCACGTAAAGGGGTAAAGTGCAATCGATGAATGTTCAATGAAAAAAGCTCGTCGTGAAAAATGTAAAAGTACAGCACGGGATAAAAAGAGTGTCGAGCGTCTTAAGATTATAGGTCGTCTTGCGGCAGTATTCGTCAGTTCCCGCGCACGATGTGTTGATTTGACCGAGGGGATAAGTCGTGAGGATTGGTATGAAAGTGAAAATAACGTGGTGTCTTGCATTTGCCCGAAGGGAGCCGCCGATCGGGCAATCGAGAGGCGCACCTTTAATGCGAGCAATGGAAGATTACCGAAGACAAGCCACCGCGCGAGAGAAAACTGATAAGGGAGGCGCAGGTACGCGGACACGGCGGCTTTCCCTCAAATGTCGCGTTTCGTGTCCCTACGAGCGCCAATTATCTAACGGACGCCTACAATTCCGCCACTCTCTACCAATACAACAAATAATAACAAATTTCACGCTACCATGCTTAGATATAAAAATATATTGGCGTTTCGCTTCGGCTCGCTTGTCGGCACGTGCAATTAAGCCTGAGCCTTGCATTAATATGCTAAACATTAAAACGAATAATTGTCGCTCGATAGAACAGCCCTGCTTACGCGAGATTTCACACGCAATTGTTCTTTTCTTTTCTTTTATCTTTCTTCCCCCAACCCCCGACCCATCGTACCTTTCTTTTCTTTCCTTATTCTTTTACTTTCAGCAATTTCATTCTCTTTTACTTTTCATTCTTTCCACTTTCTCATCTATTTTTTACACTTCGTCGTCTACATATTGCAGTTACTTCCCCGTCAATGCAAGTACGTCTGTCTTCCTTACTACGACGAGCAGGTAAAATTATTGAAAAGGAGGAAAGAAAGGGAGGAAAAAAGTGGAAAAGAAAAATCATGCCCGTCCCATTCGCCCAATGCTCTAAAGAAAGCCTCGGAATAGAGAAAGGTTTGCGGTGTACCAATCACCACGCACTTATGCAGCAAAGGTCTCGCAGAAAGTGAGAAGAGATTTGGAAGCAAAGGGCGCGCCTTAATAAAATATAAATAAATATTAAAAAAATTAATGAGGAAGAACGACTAATTGCGCGTTCACGCGAGTAAGTGCGATGAAACGAAGGTGAAGAGAGACAATGACCATAATTATGCATGCACCTTGTTGTCACGATCTGTTGCTTCGTTTTCCTTTTGCACAAGCGCAAACGCCAGAAATGTACAGCGGATAATCGCGAGAGTGCGAGCGAGCACGCGCACGTGCGCGTCTCTTATTTCGCTCCCTCGCGTTCAGTAACATCCTCGTTAATCGCAGTTGCGTTAATATTTTGTATTCAGCAATAGTAGACCTAATATAATTGTCGCAGTAATAAGGAGTGGGAGTTGTTGGCTCTACTCGAATTGATGATTAGTTGCAAAAATTACACGCCTTTCATTCCCTCTCATTCGTTATTTTATTCCTCCCTTTCTCTCGCCCACTCAAACTCTCCTCTTCTCTCCTCTTTTTCATTCGCTCTCTCTTTCTCTCTCTCTCTCTCTCTTTCTCTCTCTCTCTCTCTCTCTCTCTCTCTCTCTCAATCTCAATCTCTCTCTCCCTCCCACAATCTCTCAATCTCTGTACTCTCAAGATAATAAAACGCGTCGCTCGAGGCCATTTACAAAGAAAAAATTTCGAATCGCCGCTCGTGTAAAAAGATAAATCCGATTATGCCTAGTTAATGAATAGCACGATAAACAAACTCGTTTGATTATTTTAGCGAATTCTCAAGTGGCGCGATATATTAAAACTAAATGGAATTCGCATTCGATACAATTCAATGGGGTGCGACTCGGTGAAAAGCTACAATTTTTCCTCTTATTGATCTTTTTCTATTTTTTTTTTTTTGGTTTTTATTTTTGTTTTTTTTCGATATTTTCCTTATTTTTGTTTTGTTTTGTTTTGTATACTAACGGGTGGCTTCAATATTTGTCGCCGACCGTTTATTAGCCCGATAGCAATAATAATAATATTTATCGTTATGATAATTTCTTGTAGATTCGATTGCAGTAGTAATAACAATATACGGGGAGTCTACCAAACCAAATTGATAGAAATCGCCACTGACTTTCCCGAGTCCGAGGACTTTTCTTTTCTTTACTTTTCATTTCTATTTTCTTTTTGACTACTATGCTTCGCGTCATTGCTTTATCTTAACTTCCTCTCTCGCACATCTGCTTCCCTACATTTTGTAATTTTTTATTTACTTATTTATTTATTTATTTATTTTTTTATTTTATTTTATTATTTTTTTTTTTTTAATCTGCTCTCGATAACCATATCGAAATAGTTAAACCAATATTCAAACCCTTATAGACGATAATTACTATCTATATCACAGATCCAAGTGACTAAAACTCCTTTAAAAATATAATATAAATATGTGTGATGCTTGCAATATATGTATGTATAGTCCCGCTCCGAAAGAAGACTGTAATAAATCAAAGGATGCTCCTGCAACAATCGAAAGGTGCAAAGATTTGATCGAGCGTGGCTAACTCGAATGCTGCTAGTAACTCTATCATTTATCATTTATCATTTATGATTTTTCATTTTTCGTTTTTGTCAGATAAAAACACTTCGACACCGGACTCTGCGTGGAGATTTACATTTACAATATTTCCCATTGTCCTTTCTCTGTCGCTGAATTACTCTTAATTCTAGCTTTTCTAAGTCTTGGCTTCTCGAAAACATTCATTTTTAAATGAATACTCCAGAAAACAAACAAATTTTAACATTACAATATAAATATTTATCACTAACTCTTTAAAAATGTTTGAAACAACGCTCCAAAATATTACACGACGACGAAACATACGAAGAAAAAAAAAAGATTAAACAAGCGTTAACTCATGGACAATCCACGCTGAGTACGCGGTCGAATCAACTTTGACTGTTCGAGGAGGCATTTAAACCTGTTTGAAATAGTACTTTTTTTTTGTCAATGTCGTTACAACATGCTCTAAAAACAAATTATTGCTAAAACGTGATGGGAACAGCAAAAAAAAAAAAAAAAAAAATTACAGTTGACGCACGAAAATTCAATGTGGTCAGCCGAAAAACCTCTCTTATAATAAATGTACAACCTTTAGGAGGTTCAACTAAACGTCAATGAGAGCTTTTAAACAGGTTTCATTTTTCGAGCAAAATTAAAACGGATGTGTGCGGTGGCAATGTGTACATTTACATATCGGTAGTACGTTGGCTATCTATTTCGCTTTCTTCGTGTCTTCTTTCTCTCTCGCATCCACACTCGCACGCGCACCTACACAAGCGCGCACGCACGTACACACAACACCCAACACGCGTGCAATCACTCATTCGCTCGCGCTCTCTCTCTCTCTCTCTCTCTCTCTCTAATCTCGCTCTACTGTCGCTCATTTGCCCTTTTTCTGTACACTGATGTGCGTGCGCGCGGGCGGTCACACCGCCACACATACGATTGTAAGTGTGGGTGTGTGCACGCATGTGTGCATCAATATTTTGTGTAGCTGCGTGCGCTAATGCATTTATTTATGTATATATATATCTATACATACGTATGTATATAGACACATTTTTCTGTCTCACATTCTCACGTGTTATTGCGTTGTACATACTCGGAATAGAATATCGCTGGGCTGCCATTAGTGTACTGGGCGTAGAGGTAGAATGCGGGATGTAAGCCCGGCGGCGAAATCGGTTGCGGCTGCGATTGTGGTTGTGGTTGTGGTTGTGGTTGTGGTTGTGGTTGTGGTTGTGGTTGTGGTTGTGGTGGTGGTGGTGGTGGTGGTGGTGGTTGCGGTTGCGATGGCGGCTGCTGGTGCTGGTGCTGGTGCTGGTGCTGATTGTGCTGGATATGGTGCTCGTGTTGATGAGGATGTCGTTGGTACTGATGGTGATGTTGATGATGACGATGCTGATGCTGATGATGATGACCGGAGGCTTCGAGGGGCGACGAAGACTGATGCAAATAAGGTGGCTGCGAGCCTAGACTGTCCACGGAGGACTCGTTCATTCGATAAAGACTCTCTTTTTGTTCTCGTTCTTGTTCTTGTTCTCGTTTTTGTTTTTGTTCTTGTTCTTGCTCTTGTTCTTGCTCTTGCTTCTGCTGCTGCTGCTGCTGTTGCTGCTGCTGCTGTTGGTTGTGGTTGTGGTTGTGATTGTGATTGTGATTGTGATTGTGGTTGTGGTTTTGGTTTTGGTGTTGATGGTGGTAGTGGTCGTGTTCTTGGCGCTGGTGCTGCTGCTGCTGCTGCTGCTGCTGCTGCTGTTGTTGTTGTTGGTGGTGGTGTTGGCGATGGTGGTGGTTGGTGTTGTGTTGTTGTTGTTGTTGCAACTGCAGCAGCTGCTGCTGCTGCTGAGACTGCTGATGCTGCTGAGGCAGACACTAGTTGGTGGTCTGCGGATGGAGAAGGGGCAGCGGCAGCTGCAGACTGTTCTTGGCGAGGCTCGCAATTTCCGCGGCGATGCCCGCGCCGGTTTTGCCACCCTGACCGAGGCCGTCGAGCGAGGAGGGACCGTCGCTGTAGCGCAGATCGCACACCGGGCTCTCGAAACCCGTACCCGGCGTCCCAGCTCCGGAACTTTGAGGCGTTCCCGGGTCGTGGTTCCCGCTGCCTTGCGACATGTCGCGGTGCACACGGTTCTGATGCCGGATTAGGTAGCTGTCGCGCACGAATGTGCGCCCGCATATGTTGCACTCGTAGGTCGTATTGGCGGTGTGGGTGCGGATGTGGATGGCGAATTGGCTCTTGGAGGTGAAGGTGAGAGAGCAGCGCTCGCAAACGAGGGGCTTCTCCGCGACGTGGGACCAGCGGTGGGCAGTCACGTAGCTTTTGACCGCGAAACGCTTCTGGCAAATGTCGCAGGAATAGGGCCGCTCGCCCGTGTGCACGCGCTTGTGGGTGTTGAGGCTGCTCTTCTGGGTGAATCGCTTGAGGCAGAGCTCGCACTGGAAGGGCCGCTCGCCCGTGTGCGTCCGCATGTGAACCTCGAGGTAGGGCTTGCGGCAAAAGCTCGCCTCACAAACCGTACAGTGATACGGCTTGTTGCCGGAGTGGAGCTTCATGTGGACGTAGTAGGAGGAAGCAGAGGATAGGACCTTGCCGCAAACCTTGCAAGGCTGGGGCTTGGACCGGGTGCCCTCCTTTGCTGTCTGCTGACCACCCGACTGCCGCGACGGCGAATCCTCGTGCATTATCGGACTGTGCTCCTGCTGCTGTTGGTCCTGCTGCTGCTGTTGCTGCTGCTGCTGCTGCTGCTGCTGTTGTTGCTGCTGTTGTTGCTGCTGTTGCTGCTGCTGCTGCTGTTGTTGCTGATGCTGCTGATGAGCCTGCAAAGACTGATGGGTCTGGAGATGGCCTTCCTGCTGGGAAAGCTCTTCCCGCTCGTCCGACAGATTTACCATGGAATTCGAGCCGTCGGATCTGCTGGAGGCCACCGAGTAAAAACCCATAGGCTCGCTTTTGATCTGCTGCTCAAACATAGATGTCATAATGTCCGACTGCTGGGGGTGAGCCAGCGGCTGTTGCGGCTGCTGGGGATGATGCAGCGTTTGCGCTGCTTGCTGGTGTGGGAGCAGAGTCAGGTTGCGCTTGACAAACTGCTCATATCCTGCGTACCAATCCACCTAAGCGAGGATCAAAAGGATTGAAAGTTATCGTCGAATATACAACGCGAGACGGAAGCGAGATTGGGGTGGGAACGCGACGCTCGCTGCGCTCGGACGGTGGGAGCAAAGTAAAAGCGCGCGAACGCGCGTCTGGTTGAAGCGAGACAGTCCGTCAATGTCCGTATCTCGCTCGCTCCGCGACGAACAACATTTATTTTTGACAAGTGACAGAGTCGCGCGCTGGGGCCGATCAGCTGATTGCATAACTAATCCGCGGTAACGCAAATCGGCGACTCCCTCGCGCGCCCTCGGCCGTCAGCGGGTATCGCCTCGGCACCGCCAAACGACAACGACGACGCACGACGCACGACAGACGACACACGGAAGGGGACGGGACCCGACACGCG